GTTTCGAATCATCGGAGGGAATTCACAACGAGAAACAGAAGGATTTGAGGAAAATATGGAAAATAAAGCGGACGATAGGGAGGGGAGGGAGGGGAGAGGGAAACAAGGTGAAAAAGGAAACACGGAAATCTGGCCAACGTCGATCCGTTAAGATTCCAGGAGGCGAAAAACTATTTCTGGTGGAGTAGTCACGTGCGAACCGCAACGCCGCAAAGGTCTCCAACCGTTCGCCGCGTTTCCCTTTCCCGCATCGGTTAACTTAGATTCCTCGACGAGCCACCCATCAAAATGATAAACTTCTCTTCTCCTCCTCCCGTGAAAGAAACCGGGGCGAGCACGTCGGTGCATTTATTTTCGTACTCTACTTTTCCCCGCGCCGAGTGGATAATAGATCGAAATTCCAGCCAAGAATGGAGGGAGCGGGGGGAGGGGAGGAGGAGGAGGAGGAGGTAGGGGAATCACGGGGGTATTTCACTGCCGCGTATGGGGTGACCAATCGGTCCACGTACGGCACCACTGATCAGCAGCTGCCAGTGTCGGTAAGGTAGAAAGATCGATTGGCTGCGACGTTGCCGGTTCTAGCCAGTTGTTCCGCCAGTAACAGGAACACCGGGGATAGTGGGGGTTAGTTACGGTCCGAATCGGAAATATTCGGTGACGGTGTGGTGCGCGAGGCAGAGTGGTGAGAGAAAAAAAAGCAGCGTCTCGAAGAAGGTGAATTTTCTCGAAGGAGGCCAGTGAACACGTCCAGGGGCCATGCGTCCGTTTCGCGTCGCGATTCTACGCGTCGTTCCGCGTAGGCCCCGTGGCGTCGCGGTCCTCGTAATTACGCAATGACCAGTCGTCACGATGCGGCGGCACGCCGAGTGTTAGGAAACTCTCGTCTCTCTCTGTCCGATCGAAAGACTCCCCTTCTCGACGATGGTTGATCTCGATGGATGAACAAGTGTGCTCGTTTTAATCATCGAGGCTCGCCGATTCTGACAACGACGACGACGACGACGACGACGAACGCTCGAGCTGACAACGACGCTCCCCATTATCGCTCAAGGTTACCAGCATGAGCTTCTGGTCCCGCAGACGGTTCCGTATCACTCCGCTGCGAGCGTTGGCGGCCTTGTTCCTGATGATCGTGCTGTTCTGGTACAGCCTCAGTCGGCAAGAAGCGCCGCGGCAACCGTGCAGCGTGCCCGAGGAATTCACGGAGAAACTGCACGAGCTTGCCTACAGGTGCAATACCGGCTCAGTTCTAGTTTACCGGCTGTTGATAAGTTCACGTGTCTGACCGCGCCGGTCGATTCCCCTTTCGCGCGATATGATGTGCTCGCTTCTTCAGTCCTATTCTACTTGCTATTAGCCAGCCATTATATTGCGTTTTACGAACAGATCTAAGGAGATCTGGACGTTTCCTTCTCTTTCGTTGTAATTATTTAAATGATGCTTTCTTTGCAAAGAGTGCATGAAACGTGTACAACATACATTCATATTTCATATTTTATTTGTAATTCACTTGTAAGGTCTGACAAATCCCAATGTTCCTTTACACCACGCATCATTCTATCATATATGCGTATCAATTTAACAATGTTCCCTGTGCATCTATAATGCTCGAATAATTCCTGAATTTCTCTTCAGCAATTATTCGCTGATTCACAGCCGACTGCGCGCGATTCAAATCGAGCCGCGCGCTATGATTATCGAAAGTTCTCTTCAATCACGAGATGACGGACCGTCAGATTCGTCGTCTTCGTGACCGAGGTGAAACTTTCACTCGGACGCTCGTCGTGTTTTCTCTCGTGACGAATTTCACCCAGGCACAATCAAGTACGTTCAACTTTTTCTGTCGTTGTGTGACTTGATCAGGGTTCACCTGGTGCTAGCGAAACTGGGCATCGTGCACTTTCTGTGCCTGGGAGGGCTCTGGGGTCAAGTTCGCATCGGCCGTGCCTTGCCGTGGGCACGTAAGGTCGAGCTTTGCCTGATCGACACGCTCAGAGACGACGTTCTAATCACGAAAGCGTTCCGCGAGGTTGGTCTCAGCGCCACATATCTGCACGCGGCTGGCGTTTATCGAATCCAGGAGCACGAGGTCGGCGAGGATGCGCCCAAAGTGGAGGTCGTCGTCTTCGAAA